GTCCAAGGCAAAACTGGCTTTGGTCGCGAAACCTACCTCTAGAGGTAGCGGCGGCGGCGGTCGTGGTCAGGAAGATGCCGAGGCAGGAGATTTCCAGACGCCGAGAGAAGAGTTTCATACGCCGATGACGCCGACGTCTCTTTATACCTATGGGGCTTTCAGTCCTGATCATGAGCTTGAGAGCGTTGGCGACGAGACAGAGTCTGGCGGGGATTCCTCCGATACCAGGGCGGAGAAGAAGCAGAAGAAGGCAGCTCGGACGTTGAGTTTGAGTCAATTGACGATGGGTAAGAGGATCTGAGAGAGCGGGTGTAACGAAGATGGGGGAGTTCACCAGCAGCAAGACCGTCTCCTGCCTCGTTAAATCCCTTGACGTCACGTACGTTACACCTTCACGACATCGCCGTCTTGGATAATCCTCAGTCACGGAACTCAAACAGGCGACTCACTCGGCGGCTCGGGCATCACGAATGGATCCAGTCAGTCAGTCAGTCAGCCATTGAGGGAGTCGCTGTGCGGACTTTTTGGACAGACAACAAACAAATACAAACACACACATGACTGAGGAATGAGACGAAACCGTGTCACCTACCTACCTACTCATCCTCTACACCTACCTACCTCAACCTGCCGATACACACCTTTCAAGCTTCTTGAACCCCCTTTTATCCCAGGGCTATAATACGAATTCGGTCTTACGTTTCACCCCAATGACGACCAGGTCGCCTTGTTTTTATCAACAAACAGCAACATTCATCTTGCGCCGCGCATCCAGCATGCGCACGCATGCATGAACTTCTACGTTTATACCTACCTCTCTTCAATATTTCTCAACCCATACTCTATTTGTGCTCGAGTACTTTAACCTCCAGTTGATATTTTTTTGTCTCATTATTGGAGCGGCATAGCCTTGATTTTTTTTTTTTTTTTACGTCATTACGTGTACGATTATTTATATCTAGCAGTTTACGGACACATCATGATGGGGGATACCTTTTTGTTGTGGTAGTGGTGGTGTAGTTGGATACCGTTCAGTTGCTTTCGATTGCAATTACTTTTTTCTTTTTTATGGCATATTGCATATATCGTTCTGGTGTTACTGGGAGTTTTTCTTCATGGAAATGGATCTTTCTTGAAATTTACAGCCCGTTGATTCAACATCTCTTATCGTCCTCTATTGTAATATCCTTTTTCTTTTCTTATTTTTTTTTTCTTTCTTGGCATCCTTAGCACTAAGCATTATCTCTTGGACGGGTTGACAGATCTGAATTTGATACGGCTTTGAACTTATACACATTGTTCTCTTGGGCTAGCGCTGCGTGAAATGAAACATGACCATTGAAAATAACCGGCTACTGTAGAAAGTGGGAACGCATGACAAAGCAGTGAACACAAAGAGGCATAAGGCAATGTAGTCAATGGGAATGGTATATCGTACAAGAAAACAACTGCCCTCGAGGCGTATATGTTCGACTTGACCCAAAATAACCCAACCCAAAACGCCGCTGTATAAACCCGCCAAACCCAAGCGTAACACGTCTGTAACTTTGTCGACTTTCTCTCCCGTCTTCCCTTGTTCTCTGCTATTGTCCTTCAAGCGGTATCTTCGGGCAACTCCTCCACGACCCTTTCTACCAGCTCGATCAGCTCATCGATATCTGGCCTCTCTGCGGGTTCGACCCTCAAACATCTCCTCACCACATCCCTTATCGGCTCGCTGATATAGTTCTCATCGTCCTTGTTGGTTGCCGTACTATCACCACCCGCACCTCCTCCCGCGCCCGCCTTGCCCTTGCCCTTGGTCTGTCCGGGCCCCTCGTCAGGGAACCTCCAGTCGCCACTCAGTACACAGATGCTCAAGCTGCCACCGGTCTCGTCACTGCGCATCTCAAAGGGCGACTTGCCGACCAGGCAGGCGTAGAGGGTACAGCCGAGCGACCAGATGTCCACCTTGGTATCGATAATGGTGCCGGTCTTGACATCGAAGAGTTCGGGAGCGCGATAAGGCATGGTGGAGTGTTCGGCTGCCGTATCCTGGGTAGCTATGGCGAGGGAGCGAGATGTGATGGGAAGGGGAGAGACGGCAATGGAGCCGAGGTCCATGAGGATTGGGTCGCGGCCGGAGTCGGAGATCATAATGTTGCCTGTAGGACAAGTTAGAGTTAATAATGACATAAACGGACGTTATGATAGGTGGTGTTAAAAAAACACGTACCAGGCTTGATATCCCTATGCGCGTAGCTCCTCGTCTCGCCTGACCCAGGCAAGCGTCCTTCCTCTTCGATCAGCGGCACTTGTTGCTCCGTCTCATCATCCTCATCCGCACCTCCCACTGCCGCCTGCCTGGTCTTTGATTTTCTCTTTCCTGCTCCCGGCACTTCCATCGACTCCCCGCTTGTGTCCCCCCCTGCGCCACCTTTGTACTTGTGCATCCCCCTTAGCGCCTTGCACACCCCCAGGAAAAGCATCATGAGCCTCTTCTCCGGGAAGCGCGTGTGGTTTACCAAGTTCGCATTGATCATATCCTGCAGGTTGCCGCGCCTGTAGTACGGCAACAGGACGTAGACGGTCTTGTCCTGCCCTTCGCTGCCGCGTTCCGTGGCGATGCTGTAGTCGACGTGGTGGATGATGCCAGGCGTGTTGCCAAAAAGCTTGTAGGCTTCTACTTCGTGCATAGCTTGGGCGACGGACTCTTGACCGAAGGGGCATCGGATCTTTTTTAGGGCGAGGAGCTCGCTTGTTGATGTGTCTTGGACAAGGTAGACGTAGGAGAAGCCGCCCTGGATGAGACTTGTGGTCAATACAGCTCAGAGCAAGAAGGGGAGGGCAACAGAGATGGGGGAAACCGTACCTCGCCTAGTAAGCGCAAGATCTTGAAACTCCTATTGTTAATCTTGAGCGTGGGGGAGCCGGGAAAGCAGACCATGCAGTTGCCCAGCCAGTATATAAAGTCTGAAACTACTTGCGCCATGATGGGCTACTCGTGGGAATGGGCTATGTCTGGATTAAGGTGGTGATGCGTTGGCGGAACCGTTGTCGACTTTCTCGAACTGCTTTGCGAGTGACCGCCTGTATGATTCTGCGTGGTGACGGAGAGGGAGATGTGGGCGCGTTTAGCTTCGCAATGTCATCCGCTTAAGTTGTTTGGTCGCGCGACGCTCAGGTGAACTTGTTTGAGATCGAGTGGTCATGCACAATTGGCAGTCGACGTGGGAATGGTGCTTCCTCTGTGTGATGGCGACACTGCTTGATCGATGTTTGCGCTAAGTATCCTGAAGAGGAAAGTCTGATAGTTTGTCGCAGGTATGTTGTGTGTTCCGAGATGTTGGCTAGAGTTGAGACGTATGCGAATGTCAGATGCGATTGATGCTCAGGGAAGGTGCCTGTCAATCACAAAGCTAGGTACCACAGCTCTCACTAATTGAAGGTGGCCGGATCATAGCCCGCGATGTCCAGTGCCAAGGATCCTGGGGCCTGATTGGCCTGTTAGTATGGCTCCTGCCACTGCTGTTAAAGCCCGCCATTGTGAAGCTGAGGAATGTCTCCCAGCTTTCTGATATAGAGGCATGAACTCTATTGCAAGCCGCAGAGCTAGTAATTGCATCTTGAGAACTTGTTCTGAGACTTGAGATTTCTCCATTCTCAGTTCAACTTTTGAGCACAACCCTGAGTTAGTGAAGTTGCGTACTAACATATTCGAGGGTCTTTATAGGATTACTCCGACGAAACAGTCAGCTTCAGCGCCACAGCAACTGGAGGCCCCCCCCCCCCCTGGCCCTACGCTCTTCCGGGAGTCCCGGCACCGTAGCGTCCGAACCGCAGCGCCTCCACTCTCCAGGAACCTCAATGGTCCCGGAGCCCCGAGAGAGATGATAGGCTATTATTTATCTAAATACATAGGTTCTTTGTTGACGAGGGGATATATTTGTATTCTTAAAAAATCCCCTTGCGATGCCTATTGAAAACGGCAGGGAATTCGCAGACCACGATGGCATCATGTCGTCATTCTTATTGGGACTGAGACCCTACCACAACATACCCAACAAGGTACCCGCATAGCAGTTGTTTTGACTTCTCCTTCTCAGTCTGACTGACTTTAACTGCTCAACATCCACTCATCGAGGTACTGCTGGCCGGGAATGAGTAGCTCTTGGCTTGTCTCTTTGAGGAGAGACACTGAGATGGGTTCGCTCGTCGATCCGTTGTGACTCAGCACGCTTCAAATCTCTCCGGTCATTCAACGACAGCAACTTCCGCGAAGACATATGTATAGTTCTCTGCCTCCGTCTTATTCTTTGCCTTAACCCTAGCTGTCAGTCAACATGCTTTCTTCGAGGCCTCATATACCCTGGCGGTCAATATCAACATTCTTCTTGTTTTTACCTTGATGTAAATTTTCGCAAGTGACACTATCGCTATCAGACGGATCAATTCCTAGATGAGTGTGATAGATGTGGACTGATGGATATCTCCATTCGCCAGATCTGATAAGTGCACTTCACACTCGATATACGTGCTGTGACGGATTCCTTAACCTCTCTTTATATGTCTTTAGAGACTTTTCAGAGTTTTGCCAAGGTATTACCATCCTCCCTTTTCACCATACTCTTGCTCTTACCAACGGGTCATCGTGTAATCTCCCCGGGTATGATTACTTCACTACCAAAGACAGTACAGCTAGGATCACGGAACAACCACAACGAAGGAATTCTTTCGAACCTTGAACTTACAGCCAACGAACACAGAAAGGAACATTCCGCAAATCTTCGTTCATAATGCTCAGTACTGCATAATACACTAGACTACACTACACGCTCCCGCCCGCTCACTGCCTCCGACTTATGAGTTCTGCTCTCGCATACCACATACCAAAGCCAACGCGACCCAACCTGTTCTCCCTCCCATGTGATGATCCATTACCATGCCTTAATGCACTAATCTAGCCTTTCCGTTCCATCTCATCCTAGCCTATCCCGTCCTAACCCTAACCCTTCCCTTCCCTTTCAAATTTCCGTAGTGGTTTGGTTCCACTGCAGACAAATTTATTCCAGAAACCGTGTCTGGTATTTGTCGTTTGGTGTTTAACTTGCTTGAAAATGATTGATGGTGAGAACGATGTTGATAAAGTTCGGTAAGGATGGATATCGATCGATGGTGCGAAAGGCACAAAGAGTACGGATGCGTGGTTTTCAGTGTGCAGCGTCAATGAGAAAGAATGAGGAATGGTAGAGGGGTAGGCAACATAGATAGGTAGATAGGCAGATAGGTACGCCAAGCATCAGTTCATACGAGATGTTACCATCCATCGCTACACCCTCTCGCTCCTCTTCCCAGCTGTCGTCGGCGGCGGCGGCATCTTCCCCATCATCATCTTATTATCGTCAAAAGCCTTGCTTAATCCAACAGTCCCCTAAAACTCGTCTTCAAAGGGGCAGTCAACGCTATCGTGACCGTCACGCTCGCACAAGGCACACCACTTGGACGCATCCACGACTCCACTCTCCTTGCCGGCTACGGGACCCGACTCCATCAGGTTGGGCAGGGGCGCTGCCTTTGCAACAGTGACAGATGGCACGATAGGATCCGTGGGGATAGGCTCCAAGGGAGTAGTAGACCGGGAAGTGGGCTCAGCGGCGGCAGGCTGAGGAGTCAGGGGCTGCGTCCTGGCCCTGGTAGGGGAAAGGGGCGCCGGCTTGATGTCGTCGTCCTTGGTGGAAATAGCCATGGAGCCGACGGCGCTGACAATATCGTCCTTGTCCTCGTCCGCCTCCTCGTCATCGTCCTCGAGGTCGGAGGCAAGAGACTGCGACTTGCTCTGTTGCTGCTTGTGGGTGGCGTTCTCGGTCGCGTTGGCAGAACCGAACATGTTGGTGCAGCTAAGGATGTCGTGGCCAGAAGTGTCACAGAGCTCGCACCAGAGAGCGCCGTTGTCGGTTGCGGCGCTGTAGGAGTCACTTTCGGGCATCGCCTCGAGAGTTGATCCCCGGCTCCTGAGGGCCTTGTCCGTAGTCTGGGGAACAGGTACCACAATGCTTCGTGACTCACGCTGCGAGCTGCGCTCGTTGTTGCTGCCGACCGTCATGGTGCTTGAACGATGGTTCGACTCGCTTACAGCGTTGCCTCTCCGCAGCATCTCAATCTCACGCTCAAGCTCCTCCTCGCGACTGGCCTTGCTGTCGAGCATGGCATGAAGCTCCGCGACCTCGCGCTCGAGCTTCTCACGAGCGAGGCGATCCTCGATAGATTCGCCGGTCTTGGCGGTTGGCGTCATGGCATCATCATCATCATCATCACCGGGAGCAGAATCTCTGCTGAGTGAATGAATGATAGCCTTAAGGCCTCTGATCTCGTCCTCCTTCTGTTCAAGTTCCTTGGCAAGAGGGCCGCTGTCCGGGGAGCCATTTGCGCCGTTGATAGCGGCCTGCGCCTTCTCCCTTTCCCGGCGGAGCTCGGTACGCGTTCTTTCTACCTCTCCACGGAGGAATTCAACCTCACCCCGGGCCTCTGCTTCCCCTCTACGGGCATCTTCAAGGCCCTCCTCCAGTTCCTGAACCAACTCTTCCAGTTGTTTAAGCTGTATAGCAACGGCATCCACATCTTCGGTTCGTTCCCTCAGCTCCTGATTCTCCTGCATAAGTTCCTCGATCTTCTTCTCGTAGATCCTTTCGGTTTCTGAACTCGCCAGCTCCAGGGTATCAATAGTGCTCCGGAAGTCAGCCCGGTGTGCGTCAAACTCGGCAGTCAGCAGGGCAATCTTGTCGTTCTTTTCCTGCAATAATGCTCGAAGCTGAGCAACGTCCTTATCTTCGAATTCTTCTTGTCGTGATCGATCGCGCAACGAGCCTTCCGAGCTCTCGATGAGAGCCTGAAGCTCGGTAAGACTGCTTTCCATCTCGACCAGTGTTGCTGCCTGGTCCCTTAGTTGCCTCTCGCGGTCTTCAAGCTGAGTTCTGAGTTTCTCTAGCTCCTCTTCGTGGGCATTACCAAGGCGCGAGGCTGCCCGCGAGGGGGCGCGAAACCTCATTCCTGGGATAGACCCGGCAGTGACACCTCCGTTGTTGTGTCCGCTGACAGAAGCAGCATCTTCATCGTCAAAGTTTGGCTGGTGAGCATTGCCAAGGGAGGATATACTACGAGGTCCGACACTACCTTTCCTCGTATGTGAGGGCAGTCGCTTGCCCGTGTCTCCAGGCACTCCGCGAACGCTCTGAGAAAACTTGTTAGGCTGTGGACTGGGGAATCGTCCTGGAGGGCCTGGTGTGGCAAGCGAAGTGCGCGATCCGGGAGTCATTTGCAGTCGCCTCATGGGCGACTCCGGACGAACAGCACCGGGCCCGACAGATTGGCTGAATTTTCGTATAGAGGGGGTAGCCGGCGCACGGCCTCCGAGCTTCAACGCGGGTCCGGGTGGGACAAGATCGGTGGGCGTGCGAGGGAGGGAGCCGCTGCCGGCATCCCGCTTGACGGCCTTGGATAGGGGGAGGAAAATACCAGCCCCAGGCAGGCTGGTGTTGAAGTAGGAGACACTGGCAAAGACCTGCGTATTAGCTCGAGTCCAGGCCCCCTTCCAGAAGAAGCATATTGGAGGAATTGTCCGCTTACCCATCGACATCACCGCTGTTCTTTCCGCGAGAGGCAAACTCGCGGTGAAGTTCGACTCCGGCAAAGATACCCTTGCGCCCATCGACTGAACCGATGAAGCGAACAGTACCGGTCATGTTGCCGGGAACCTCGACCATGTCACCAATAGTGATCTCATCGCCGGTGCTCATGGTGCCGGGGTTGATAGAAAGAGGCATAGCGTCGTTGTCGGTGGTGTTTAGGACGGAGTGAAGAGCGTAGGCTTCGGTATCATCGGGGATGGTGGCCAGAGAGTTTTGCGTGAGGGCGGCGTAGGAAGCCTTGCGCGACAGCGCCGGCGGGACAAGGCGCGATGATGACAGAGACGGGGCCTGGGACGAGTAGAGCTGGTTGAGATTCGGGGTTGATGCTGTAGCTATGCCGCTGAGGCCTCGGCCGGTGCGTGCTGGTTTCGAGAGTCCGAGTCTAGGTTTGGGAGTGGTCGTGTAGGTGGTGGAAGTTGCTGTGGTGGTGGTGGAGGTCATCTTGGACCGGCTTTGTGGCGGCCACCGACGGGACCTGCAAAGGCGGTCGAAGTCGGCCTGTCTGCTAGGGGTAGGGGATAGACTAGCAGGACTAGTCGACTAGTGTAGTAGATGCCGACCGAAGGCCAGTCACCAGTGTGCGTCTGGCGGGAGATGAACAAGGTTCAGGTCAGAAGTGAGGTGAGTCCCGCTCTTGTTTACAAACACACCCCACCTGAGCCCACCTCTCGGAAGCTCCTGCTGAGCGATCGCCCCTGACCGCCCGGTGCTCGTGCTTGCAGTGCACAGGACGGTTCGATGCGTGCACGGGGTGTGTGTGGCTTCCTGACAGCGCCTGCCTTGCCTGTGTGACCCGCGTCTGCGGTACCCGTCCACTAAAAAGTAGCGAGATGGAGCCTCTTGTCCAGGGGTGAGTGCGATTGCCGTACGGACAGTGGAGGGAATCCCACCTACAGTACTAGTAGCTATGTACCTCGGTGACTGCGTCTGCTGCTCGAGACGGTGAGATGCACGAGCGGGACGGGACTGTCTGGCAGTGAGCGGTAGTGTAGAAAAGGTGTGGAAGAGACCGACGGATGATCTCTCGGTAGTTTTGTTTGAGACCGAGACAATGTGAATCGCCTGTAGTAGCGTATCCGCCTTATAGCTTCCGTATCCTTCTTTTATTCTTTCTCAGCACCGCTTTGTATAAAAGGCTCTCTCGGCCCTGAATCTGTATTCGTCAACGCGCCGGCTTCCTCTCATGCGTTGACGTCGCTTTTGGATGATGATAGGCTATCAATCCTGGACTCGCAGAAGAAGGTGGAGGGAGAAAGGATCGATGTCTTCCCCCCACTATGAGCAAGAAGGTTTAATTTACGGATCCGCGGGGGAGGGACAGACTTCCTATGATCATCTCCAAAGACTTGTCAGCCATCAAAGAAATAATTTCAAATCGAAATTTGATCCAGGATAAGACGGGTATGGTCCCGCGGCTAGAAGCGAGAGGCCCCGACCTGGAAAGGGGTGAGAGCTGATGGTATGCCATGGCGCGCACGTACCTGCCGATCGTGAATTGTTGTGAACCCGTGAACTGAATGGAAGAAGAAAGAAGCACAATTGGTGGATTGAATTGTTGATAATGCGACGCCGCCCGCCGTTGAGGTCAAATGACCGATGAGAAAGAGAATGGATGGAAGAAGGATGACAACTGATCAGTATTATGGACTTCCTTCCCATTATCAAGTAGTAATCCTGACCAGTCCAACAAACAAGGATCCTGCACGGTAATGGGACCGAACATGACAAGGAAGCAATATCACAACACCATGGGCAGAGTTGGCCAGAAGGAACCTCAGATATCGTGTCAATGCAGCTGCAAGAGAAACCAAGTATGTACACTACATACTAGACCTAACGTACCGTCCCGACGCCCGTTTTTGTCTGGCCAGCGGCTTGCCGCATCTCATCTAACCATGCAAACCAAACAGGTACGACAGGTTCGTTGATGTCGACGGCAGGTCACCGGTGAGGCGTCATTGTCAATGTCACTGGGCTGTTAGCCCCCTTTAAGGCTTGCTTCTCCTGCAAGAGCGGATAGTGCCTAGGAAGAAACTACCCCAGGGGCAATGTCCTGTCAACCCATCCGTTCGCTGCCCCTGGACGTAAACAAAGCCATTCGTTGTTGGTTTGGAGCGCCGTCAAGAGGCAAAGCCCATTCATCTTCCAGTAAAATTCACGACATGTTTCCTCTCAAGACGAAGGGGAAAGATATCATATCAACATGTATCCCTCTTTTTTCATCACTGGCGAGAAAGCAGTTTTCATTGGGCATTGTGGCACCTTCAGCTACCTAAGAAATATTCAGTTCTTTGGTTGAAATATGTACATCCTGGTTGAAGATCGACACCAGTCCGGCCTGGTCTGCAAACTGGACGATGCCTGAACGTGCTTCCCCTGGCGCCCTGGCAGCAGCCCCCACTTAACACGTTTTCAGCGGAGCACATCAGGGAATAGGTTCTCCCATGCTATCACGGGGGAGTCGGAGAGCCCAAGAGAAGGACTCTCCGGAGGCCATCGTTGCTTTCGCGTTGGTTGGATAGGAAAAAGAGCCGAGGTGCATCTGATCATTTGTGTCCAGGTAATTTCAACATTTTTCTTTAGTCTTTCTGTCTTTGGTCACCCAGAGAAAGGCGAACCGTGTGGTCGCCATGATTTTGAGCCCCGGCCTACAACTTTAGCGACTTGAATAATGCGGCTGTCGTTAGCGGCGTCACCTCGCCATTCGGTTACGGTGTTGCATCGCTGACAGCATTGGCAAATGTCCGGTTCAGGGGTCACAGATATCGTAACGGGCCTAGTTTGCCTGTAGCAGAGGCTCTCTCACCTTACGCTTCGTACCCTCGTGCGTCCACGGCACTCGTCTGTACCGCGAGCACCACTATCAATGATGCTACTATCACCGCCAAGGCAATGAATGATAGCAGCATAATCGTCCCTCTGCTGGCTGGGAACTTGCCCTTTATCACCCAGTGTTGTCCCACCAGGTAGCGCTTATATCCAAGAAACAGCGTCAAGATACTAATACCCAAAAACGTTGCGCCAAGCGGCTTTCCCAGGTGCCTTAGTGTTTCCGAATGGTGGGTATTGTCGTTGCCGTCCGATAATGATGTGTTGAGACGGAAGAGTTGAGTGACGGCAATGCCTATCGATGCAAACGCTAATGAGGTTCGTAGCCATGCGAGAAACGTTCGTTCTGTAGACACAAAAAGTCAGCCTGCTGCGCTGCAATATAAAGGCGTTTGGCTTCCTCTACTCACCTAAAGCAAGATGGTCACGAGCGACGCTACCCTTATTTTCTAACTCAATGCTCTGAAAATACTCCAGCCTTTTCTTCCATTTGCTCACTTTATGGTGCTCGGTCGACCCATTCCCAGCTTCACCCTCGTTATTTGAATAGGTCAATGACGATTGTGCGGCCGGACTATGGGCGGCGGATTGGCTTGATGTCTGTCTTTTGCGCGCCGACGAGTTGGATGTAGGTGTTTGTACCATACTATGATAATTGAGCGGTTGGCTTGTTACGATGCCTTGTTGTGTATCTTCGCCGACTCCGGTGGTCTCAGTGGTACGAGGCGACAGGAGAGGTGATAGCAGAGGCTGTTGTTGTAGACCAGGATTGGCAGTGTCGAGCGCTTCGGCCCTCTGGCGGGCAGCCTGAATGCGATCACAAATGTTAGTCACCGCATCAGTCTTCCCGCTAAGATCACTGGCCGCTTCTTGTTGTCTCCGGGTGGATAACGCTCGAGTCCGGCATCGATGAAGGGGACGGACGGGCTACGAACAGTACGACTAAGCATGTCTTCGGGCGAGAACGCCAGCAACTGCGCCGACTATAGTAACGCCGGTATAATTCGAGAGGAACAGTGCAGTCTCGATGAGCTGGACGACTGACTGTCCGGAATCGCAATGTCGAAAAAGGCGTGTTCAATGGTTGAGACAACTTTGAAGCTTGCAACTTTCGCCAACAGTCCGGCGAGAACCTCTCTTGGAGTCTGGCTCCGAGTCGTCTGGGTCCCTAGCTTGGATTCTTGGCATCCAGATCCAGCCACCGATACATGCCCCGCTCACTGTTGATCGCAGGTGTTTGGGATCATATGTGTCACTGACCTTGAGAATTTCATCAAGACGTTCTTGGGTTGACGTTCGTCGCGGAGCCCGAAAAGTTTTAGAGCCGTGGCGGACCAGATATGGCTCCGGTTCGGTGCTCTCAGAAGGCACCTCGGTTGTGGAAGGGGAGGCATGGAGGGCTGGCGCTGACCTTGAGGTCGCAAGCCGCTGGTTGTCGTCGGCCATACCACGATTGTACTTGAAGTACGTGGTCTTACGCGATTGTACGAGCAAATGTGCGGATTTCAACACGACAATGAGACGTCGGACGATGGTGTCAACGGGGCCAAGGATTGCGATCTGACTGAAGATTGTTCTATGGGAATTTGGCCGAAAGCGCACAGATTGCGGCGAAGACGTTCACTTGATTTGCGACTCGAGGACTGGCACGAACGCATGCGAGCCAAGATGCATTGGTCCAGGGAACTTAAGCTGCACAAACCAGGAAAGGATTGTTGGCGTCATCTTGCACTCGGCCTTGTCCGGGTCCCCGCAGGAACTGTACCCTTCAGTGGGTCCCGGTCACGCATCCCGCGACGTTCCGTCTCGGCCCGGAATGGCAGCTTTCCCCGTTGATTTTCGGTTTATATAAGTCGTTATCTCCCTCAAAGATCGTACATACTATCCTCTACATTGCTGACGTGAGGACAAAAGTCACAGAAGTATACCCGCCCGAGAGATGGGTTGCAGAAAGCTTGAGGTGTGCGCTTGGCCACCACCTGCGATTATAACTGGGAAGTTCCGGGCTGCTCTTCAACACCTCACGTAACTACCTCTACCTGAAGATCGAGCCCAGAGGTTATCTTCATCCGTCACCCCTGCTGATGTTTGTACACACCTTGGGATTTGATCCGGGAGTGCCGGGACAGGGGCTATGCTGCCCGCCCGCTTCCGCTTCTACTTACCCCACTTCCCCGCCCATTGCCCGGGCCCGGGGGACCCACATCTTACGTGAGCCGGCAAAGTGACATCGGGCCGGCCGCCGACTTGGCCGATCAGTCAACACATAACTAGCTTGACCATATCCATTTTCCCTTCTTCATTCTCACATTAGGCTCCATTATACTTACGCATGACAGGAAACATGGTGACCATTCAAGGCAAGAAAGTTGGCAATATAGGTTTCGGCCTGATGGGTATGCTGTCCAGAGCAACCAATCTTCAAGGGAATAATATGCTGACAAGAATCGCCAGGCCTAACATGGCGAGCATCTAAGCTATCGGACGAGGAAATCTTTGCCGTCATCAAGGCCGCTCTAGATGCCGGCTGCAACTACTTCAACGGCGGCGAGTTCTACGGCCCTCCAGACCACAACTCGCTTACCGTGCTCAAGCGTTACTACGACAAATAT